TTAGGCTCTGATAAAAGAGTTTCTCTTGAGGGCAGGCTTTTGTTTAGGAGAATAGAATGCTCTGGGCCTATTTCAAAACGGCTGTTTTTATTCCTTTACTCTGCCCAAAGTACCAGGGGATAGATCTTCACCTTGAGAACCTGGTGGGGTACCTGGAGGTAAAACTCATGAAAATGTTGAGGGTCCACTAAGACTGGGCCCCTGGTTTTCACTTAAGCTTGTCCAAACTGAGCGTCAAGAGCCACAGTCTAAATTTTCCTTCCCTAGTATTGGCTCCAGGGGTAGGCTTCCGTTTCGACAAGCTACAGTTTGCGGTATTTACCATTCTCTTCAATTCCAGAGGCATTGGTTTCCCTTGTGATCTTGAGGCATTGGTTTCCCTTGTGATCTTAACTCTTTAATGGCTCTAAAAAGTTGCTGATTTCAGTTTCTTCAAGTATTTATTTTTTTTGTGAGGATGGAGTGATGACTTCCAAGCTCCTTATATGATGGACTGGACAGGTTCAGGAGTTAGTCAGAGATGTACTGAGCTGACACCTAGAATTAAGAGATCCACTTCTCTATATCTTTCCTCTCTGGGGTTTTCATCCTCATTATCTGGTGGACCTAGTTCCTGTGACCAGAAAGAGCACTAGTTTTTCTATAAGAGTTGCCTCTAGGGAAGGCTTAAAGATAGAGGTGTGATAAGTGAGAAAGCAACCTCCTCCCAAAACCACATGTAATACAAAAATACAGCAAATACAACTAATCCTGAAAGCAACTGGGAAGAAGACTGTGACAGACTGCCTACAACTAGGGAAAAGAGAAGACCTCCCGGAAAAGGGTAAGTGGCAAAGCCATGATCTGGTGGGACCCAAGCCCGCCTCCCATTCCAGCTCACCAGCAGAAGAGAAATGGAGCAGGGAGAGGGTGGAAGCCTAGGACTGCCCCAGAGATCTGCTCTGGGAGCACGAACCTACATTACATGGTGCTCTGGAGATTAGTGGGGTTGGGAAGCAAAGACAGGTGGAATACTTGGAGAGACTCAGATTCCAGCTGCTTGTGGAGAACAGGTAACCACAACTGGCCGCTCTGGGACAAGAGAAAGGCAGGCACTTTGAAAGACTGTCCAACAGCGAGAGGGCTGCTAAAGGGGCAAGGATTACACAGAGCTTGCTGTTCAGGGAAAAGGACAGGAAGACAAAATCGTCCTGTCACACTCAGCCCAGAAAGTTGGGAACTTAAAGGAGCTTCAGGAGCTCCATCCTCCTGGCTGGCGACAACCACTGAGGTGCCCCATTGTGATATGCAGCCTGCTGTTCCTTCCACCCAGCCAGCATCGGTTAGCAAAACTGCTGTCTCTGCCATTGCACCAGGCCAGCCAGAAGGCAGCCCTGACTACAGCAGCTACAGGGACATAATGCAGAGGCTCCTCCCTGCGTGCTCAGCTAATTATGAGGGATATAATGCAAATAAAAACCACAGTGACATATCACCTCACACCAATTAGGATGGCCAACACTGAAAAGATAAGGAACAACAAATGCTGGTGAGGATGCGGAGAAAGGGGAACTCTCCTACACTGTTGCTGGGAATGTAAGCTAGTTAAACCATCATGAAAAGCAATATGGAGGTTCCTCAAAAAACTAAAAACAGAAATACCATTTGACCCAGGAATCCCACTCCTAGGAATTTACCCGAAGGAAAAACAAGATCCCAGGTTCAAAAAGACATATGCATGCCCACGTTTATCACAGCACTATTTACAATAGCCAGGATATGGAAGCAACTTCAGTGTCCAACAGTAGATGAATGGATAAAGAAGAAGTGGTACATATACACAATGGAATATTATTTAGCCATAAGAAGATAACAAATCCTACTATTTGCAGCAACATGGATGGAGCTAGAGGGTATTATGCTCGATGAAATAAGCCAGGAGGAGAAAGACAAGTACCGAATGATCTCACTCATTTGTGGAGTGTAAAACAAAGCAAAGCTGAAGGAACAAAACAACAGCAGACTCACAGACTCCAAGAAGGTACTAGCAGTTACCAAAGGGGAGGGGTAAGGGGGGCAGTGTTGGGATGGAGGGAGAAGCAGATTGAGGGGCAGTATGATTGGCACATATGGTGTGGTGGGGGTCACGGGGAAGACAGTGCAGCACAGAGAAGACAAGTAGTGACTGTGTGGCATCTTAGTCCGCTGATGGACAGTGACTGCAAAGGGTATGGGAGGGACTTGATAATATGGGTGAATGTAGTAACCACAATGTTGCCCATGTGAAACCTTTGTAAGATTGTATATCAATGATACCTTCATTAAAAAAAAAAAGAGTTGCCTTTAGTAGAGTCACAAACAGAAACTCAGTCTGTTGGTCACTTATTCCAAGTTTTGACTTCTCTCCATAGTCTGCTGGCATTTGCTCAGTCTCCAGGACTTTCATGTTTTTTGTTTTTTGTGTTGTGTCAAGAATTTACAGCTGCTATTTAGAGAAGGATCACTGAAGAGTTCAGGCCTGTGTACCATAAGTGGAACTTGATTTTCTATTGGAAGGAAAAAGGACTACATTTGTTCTCCTACCTTGTTTCAGGAGCTTTACATTCAGTCTCATTTCAGAATTCTTCAGGTGACAATACTTGGCCCAGAGATTAAATAACTTGCTCAAGGTCATAAGGATATAGTGGTAAAACTAGGATGAATCACAAGGCTGTCAAACTTTAAAACTACTTGTCCATTATATTATCTGGCATCCTTAAAGGTTTAAATATTGTTTGCTGTATGTTGCACTTACATAATTCAAAATAAGGCAGACTCCAAATAACATCAACAAAAGATGTTAAGGAGAAAGGGCTCAATCCATTCATCATTCATAATTCACTATGATTGACTTTTATATCAAGAGCTTATGACAATAAAATGGGAGTTTTAACTGGGAGTCAAATGTTGGAGAGGACAGTCTCCAACTGGAATAGAACCAAGTAGGTTGGGAGAAAATGGCTAAAAGATTTTTGAAAAGACAGATCAGGAGCACAGAGGCTTGATACTCTAAACTTTTCGATAAAGACAGTTTATTTGTATTCATTTGTGTATTCCCCTTAGGATCTAGCACTGTTATGACTGACATACACAGTGTGTTGGAGATTTTGAAGGAATTAACAGTTTAGATACTTTCATACATGTAATTTTGAAGTTTTTAATGGATTTCCTGCAGAAATAATGATGTAAAATATCCGGCATGTGTAAGGTATTGAATTTCAATTCTTTTCCCTCACTTCCTTGATATATTTCACTAAGGACTCTAGCAGAAGCCAGCACACTGATGCCCAACTAGTTTTTAAAAGGCTGAAATATGTGGACCATTTTGGTTCAGGCAGTAAGAGTTTGTCTTATTTGATCCATAGAATGCAATCCACTGTTTGGTCACCACATACCTACTTTATCATTAAGCCTTAAATAAATAAAAGGAAGGATCAAAGCCAAATTCAGTGTCACTTTAGAGAATGTCCAGTATCACTGCAAAGGAAATAAACTGTTCATAGAAAAGGGTATTTGTACTATTCTTAAGCAAATCCTGAGGAGAATCTCTCATCACCAGAATAAACACAACTTTCTTGCATCTTCACATAAGTGACAAATGACTACTTAGAGATGATCCGGACATAAGAAAAGGCAGATCTCACTAAGACAGTTGTGAACATGGCAATACATCAAACCTGTTCTAAGGCCAATTTTGACACAGGAGTGTAACTGGTTTGGTTCCATCCTAAAACTCCTGTCACTCTTGGATTAAAATGCAAGGAAAATTTCAAAGACTTTTACAGATCCATATTTTGGTCTAGTGGAAAGGGTTATTTACCAACTAAGGGTTGACTTTGTTTTCTCACTGTTTTTTTTTCACCAGAACAGTCTAGCAGAGATACCTTCTTAGCGCCCTGAATTATTTCATTTCAGTACCACAAGCACAAAGAGAGCCCCATTTAGGCAACTAGGACACACAGCAGACTATAATCCTTATGCCAGGACACAATTTACATGGGGTTTACTCTGCACTAGTCTTTACTCCTTAGAGCCTAGCAGATAAAGGTCCATGCTTATTTATCAACTTATTAAATATAAAGACAACATTCCCTGTAATACTATTTTTTTGATATGTACTCCAAGTTAAGAGCTACTGCTCTATATAATACACCCTCCTTATATGAGAATCCTACATACACTAAGAAAAGTTAAGAAAGGTAGTTAAAATATTCAGTGTGCCAAAGTAAGCATTCCATCAAGTGAATCTTTTTATAAAGTAAGTGTACACATAAGATTTTATCAAAATAAACACCTAGGGATTATAAGTGAGGTTTCCAAGAGGATGGGAATAAAATCATTTTGCCTTTGAAATGGCTTCTTCTGAAATCTCATTATTTGAATAAATCAACTGAATTTCAATTTATCTAGCAAGAAAGAGTGGTAACATTGCTGAAGTCAAATTCATCTTAAATGCTGAAATATTACTCAAGAAGTCAGGACTTAGTTCTGCATCTTGTGGTACAGGCAGCAATCTCAACACTCAAAATTTTCTTTTGTTTTACAGGGAATGGAGAATAAAGAGAACTAGAAATAGAAAGTAATTTTCAGTGAACCAATAATTCCTACAGTCTGTCTGAAGGTGATATGTAAACTCAAGTATCAAAGTATAAAAATCTACCCAAAGTAAGTGTGTACAAAATGATAAATTTAATATAGGTTCACATTTTCTTGTTTGAAACCCTCAGGGTCATATGTGTTTCACAATTAACAGGTTTTTTTCAGTTTAGAAAAGTATTAGTATCTCTAGTAGAGTATAGGGCAGCATCCTATAGTCAAGCGTACTAATATTTCAGCAGTGAAAGGTAGGACTATTAACACTAGTAGGATAAGTAAATGCATGTCAGTTCTGGTTAGGTTTTTAGATTTTGAAACTATGCATAAGGGATTGGGGCACTGTAATAAAATCATTATCAGATATATAAGCAAATAAAGGTTTATACCCATGATCCTAGATAAACAGGCAAAAGGGGTTCTTTTCTCTGTTGAAGAAAGAAAATGGCCATCAGGGCAAACACATAAGGCGGCAAACCTCCTTCTTCAGGGCGATCTATACTGCACAGCTACAAAGGAGAGAAAAGAGGATAAGCATTCCATTGAACCAACTGTCATTTACACAACTTGGTCTAAAACCTGAACCTTACTCCTGTGTATTACATGATTTACTGATGCTTCAATTCCAAGTGCAACCCAATTACCTTTACTCAGTTTAGTGGTCCCCTCATCCTAATCTGCTCCCTTGAAAATGCATGCTTTGGTCAGAAGGATGATTAGCACTAACAGAAATAACAACTAAAAAGCATAGCTTACATAGTGATGAAGCAGAAGGCAGCTTTCAAAGGATGGCATATTGTAATTAACAATTCATCTAGTTCAGACTGGGCATCCTCTATCCATCCTGGACTCAAGCACCAGGAACTATATATTGTTACTGCCACTATCAGTGAAGCTTTAGCTTTTCTCTATAAAGCACCTACACAAAATCTCCATTTTATAATGATGAGGGGATCTTCTATTTTAGGGGACTATTAAATGCTATAATATTTATTAGTGCATTTCTATCAGGATACCATACTTAAAACCTTGTGGAACTATAAAAGACCAGATAGTGGCTTTCATTTTTTAGAGTCTCTGGTGTAATTCTGGAAATGGTATGAGAGGTTTTATCTCAAACTTTCCTGTGCCTGAGAATTACCTTGGGAAATTAGTCAAAATACAAATTCTTGGGACATATCCCCTGGGATTTGACCCAAAAGCTGAGGTTTATTAAGCACTATCAATCGTTTTGACCTTTTGAGTAATACCGTTATAGTGAAATAGAAACACTAAATTTTTCTTTCTGTACACATTACATTTCTGTTCTAATACTCATATGCCTACTCTGATGTCTATAAATATACATCTAAACATTTAAGATTAAATTAGCCACGGAAAAATCAAGGCATACTGCTTATGCATACATAGAATGTGTTCATACATTTAAAGAATTGAAACCTACCTTTGCCCAGTACCTAAATGCAATCACCAAAGGAACTAGCTTTGATTCGAGTTTGCCCAGGGCAGTTAAATGACCTGTTGTCAGACAAGCATTTTCATTTCCTGCGCTCACTTTACAAAGAAGACCACTGGTAGGGTACAGGGTGAGAATAGGAAAAAAGAGAAAGATAGGAAGTGTTATACATATGTCAAATATCTTTTATACCAATAACTACTAATTTAGACTGATAACAAATATCTTAAAAATGAAATAAAACACTTTACATTCACTAAACCTTTATGGGTCATTTAAGATTAAAGAAAGATAAAGCAGCTATTTTCTGAGTAAACTCAATTTTTCAGAACTAAATCTTTGTGTTTCACTAGGACGATTTTTTTGGGGAAAATACTGTAAAAAGCTTCAAATGGGAGCATGTATTCATCTTTGCAAAAGGGTGTTTTCCAAGACATGGAGGAATCTACCAAATGAAGAATCAGTACAGTTTACAAACCACCCATGTACAGCGGTGAAGATAATGCTTCCAGACGGAGGGAGAGAGGTATGCGGGTGAAGTCATAGTAATTGTTACTCAGCACTGCTAAAAATGTGGCTAAGAAAGGATGGCAAATAAAGGTGATTAGAGCAAGCATCATTTGATAAAGTTATTTTTTACTGTACTAAAATGAGTCAAAATGCTTTCATTCCTGTATTTTTTCCTTTTAAGTAACTTTATTCTTCTTAAAATAAAACTTTTTCTTCTTGCATCAAATACCAAAAGTATAGGGAGAATACTAGTAGTGAGGCTGTGAAATTAATCACATAAAGAGCTTGTCACTCTACAAACTGGACATTAAGACACAGTGAAATACATGTGCCCGTGGCAAGTTAATATCTAATACATAAGCAGCTTAAAGAAACCGAGACCTTTGCTTTTCTCTACACACCACCACCGGCACCCTAGCGTGGAAATCTGCATCAACATCAATAAAAGACTCTGAGGAAAGAAGAAAAAAATATTCAATAGGTTAATTAAACCTTTGTTTAGAAGCAGAACTAGATAAAGTACAAGTACCACCTATGACTTATTTGTCTGGCCTTTTGAAAGACCATAATGAAATAAAGTTCTGTGATAACTTGAAAAGGAAAATAGTATTCATTCAGGAATCAAGTAATCACATTGAAACCCTTTATTTTGTAAAACTAATGTTTGATAGGAAAAACTACATTATTCAATCAGAATATTTAAATGTTATACAGATAACATAATCAGAAAAATGGGTAGGACATTCAAAAGGATAACTCCTGCAACAGGTACTAAAATATTTGGGGTCAGAATACATACTGACTGAAGTTAAGAAGAAATGTTTAAACTTTAAATATTCATTTAGCTGAAATAAATAGGATTGGAAGGAATAACTCAAGGGATGAGATAGTTTGATGAGGCCCACAGAAATCAAAAGAAGCTGTAACACCCTGAGCTAGATGATACTTTTGGATAACTGGGAAATCTAACTGGAAGAACTATTTGATTCATCAGTCAGGGCTGGGTCACACCTATTTATCATTTATAAGGTATTAATTTAAGCCATGGAATAGAGCAATTATCCTTTAGTTTTACTGTCAAGAGTAAATTTTATATATTTTGCATTTTTTTCTCAGTCTAAGACTTCAATCTATAAATTGTGACATTATCATCAAGCTAAAAGCTTTACTTACAAAATAATTATTCTGCATAGAACAATTAACACGACTCTAACATGCTTCTCATTTATGGGCATTTGCTTTGGTATTACCCATATAAACAGTTAAAGAAAGAAAACACATGACTTCCTATTTTCAAAGTTTGAGAAGTAAGATATATTCAAATTATAGACAAAAAAAAAAGTTTAAGAGCAAAAGGTGGAAAGAATTTGACCTTACCACTGTTCTTTAAACATTCTTGAACAAGTAAGAGAACATCTGGCTGAGACATCTAGAAAATAAATCAATGAATAATCAAATAATTCTTAAGTACTTTTGTTTCACTGAGATAATACACAGTCATCTGAAGTTATCCAAATTGCTTTCCAAATTAGAAAGCACAATGCTACCAAAGTAAAAATACTGAATTATTGTGCTGTGTGCACACATCAGTCAGAGACAGAGATTAGCACCAATGGAGGATGAATGGGGCAGAAGAGGTCTACTACACAGTTAACTCCTGAAACCTAATTCCTGAGGTAAGCCTCTCAGTGAATCTCAGAGCTGTGGCTAGAAGCTATCAAACTATTAACACTATCAACCTCTCTATCAGACTAATTCAGCTGTTTGCTGATTGACTTGTACTGTAGTCCTGCCTTTGTCTTTCTCTAATCCTTGTCCTACCTGGGAACCAAAACCATTTAAAATCATAAAGTGGACCTAGTCTAGGCTCTTCCTTAAAACTCCATGGCTTCTTACTACCCTTAGGTGAAAATAAAATTCTTTGCATGGACTGCAGATCCTGCATGGAGACACCAGCCTACTCTATTCTAATCTTATGTTCTTCTTTCTCTGGTCTGTTCAATCCTCCTTTTAGCTCCTCTAACAGGCCAAAACTCTTATTGATTTAGGGAGCTTGAAAAAAAAAAAGCTGTTCCCTCTGTCTGAAACACAGTTTTAACCCTTTTGCTACCCCCACCCCTTTTCATCTTTTAGAGTTCAGTTTAAATGTTCTCTTTTCAAAGAGGCCTTCATGACCACTGTTATCTGTCCCTTGTTTTCTGTCATAGTGCCTTATTGACCTGCAAAACTCTCATTATAATGAATTGGTTTATGTACTTACTTCTGTCTTCACTAGGTATGAATTCCACAAGGGAGGAATTATATTTTGTCCTCTAGAATCTCATATTGTGCCTGGCTTACAACATGGACTCAGTGAATATTTGCTAAATGAATGAGTGATAAGAGATCAAAACAAATGCTTTGCTGGTTAATTACTAATCAGAATTTAAGGTTAAAAGGATAGTAACATCTAATCATCAGCTGACCTTGTAGCTAGAGTAGTCAGAGATGGCAAGGAATGAGAGGTTATGAAATACAGAATCTGGGGGTGGGACCTAGGAATCTGTATTTTTAACAACCCAGGTAAATGGGCATAAACCATCTGCAAATTGGGCTACGTATGGATAAATGGATACTACTAAAAGGCCTTCCAGTTAAAAAGTTCTGATTTATCAACATATTTTTGTATCACGTCTAAACCAGATATCTAGGCAAGGTGTGATTCTATAATTATTTCAACAAAGTAGGTATATAAGAGAGGAAACTCAGGAATGAGTTCAGCTTTCACGTCATGTACGTTTAGATATCTATAGTGTTGAAAATCTGAAATTCTTTCCTGCCATTGGAAAGTAGACTTTACCAAGACAATCTTTTCAGGTTAACATAACCTAAATAGCCCCATTACTGACATGGTTAAAAAAAAACAATGTTTGAAGTAAGTATGAAAATCTGTAAAGTATTGAAAGAAATGCTCTGAAATTGAAGGCAGGCAGAACATAAAAATAAAAATTTTAGGAGAAGAAGCTGCCACCATTATCCTTGAACTGTCTTCAAATATCTAAAATATATTCATATATAACTCATATTTGTAAAAAGAATTTCCATACCACTCTAAAAATTCCAACATTTCATTTTGTACTTACAATGGCTGGAAATTGAATGTCAATGTTTACATCTGAATTTTTGAAGCCCAGTCGGCTACAGGATGACCCATATAATCTCAGAGAACAAGCTAAAAAAAAATATAAATGAAAGTCATTACAATTTCTCAAAAGCTATCATGAAACACTGCTGTTTCAGAAATGGAACCATCAATTAAAATACACACAAAAGCAAAACAGTATTTAGGTCTGGTATAGCAAAGGATAGCAATGTGTGGCTCTTTGCTCTTGCCTTCAAGGAAGGCTTCATTGACTGTGGTTTTGCTTAACAATCACTCTTCATGTCAGTTGTAAAACACATTAAAAAAATTCTTACATTGTGATTTCACATTTTGTGTAGGAAAGATTATTTGAAATAATTCTTAAAACATGAAAGTTGAAAGGGATGCCTAACTTTGTTTTACATTTTTAAACCTGATAGTATATTAATAAAGAGTGAATGCAAACATTTCACCTCTTAGAAAGCACACATAGGTGTTACTGTAAATGTAAAAAAATAATCATAAAGTCACTTTTCAATACTCACTTTTGACTACTCACTACATTATGTACAAAAATTGCTTAACATAAATAATCCCTTGAGGAAAATCTTTGGAAAATAATTATAATATTACTGACATAATTTAAAATGCTAGGCAGCAGGTGATTCACTCTTCAGAGGAAGACGTGTGTGCATGTGTACTACCTGTGTTTACTTATGTGTTTCCCCCACTGTGCCAAAAATTATCCCTTTTTGTCAGGAGACTTTGTGGTTTTAAGTTAAATGACTCCTCTGGGTCTTAAGTTTTCCATGACAAAGTATATTCAATTTTACAATGGAAATCTGTGGCAAAAATTACCAAAATTACAATGACTTTTTGGGAACTTGTCAACAATATAAAGGATGGAATTAATACCTATACAATGAAATGGTAGATTCTTGCCCTTTATTCTTATGAAAGTATATATGAATAGGGATGATATAATTTATGAATGATCTTTCAATAGAATAAATAGTTCTGTGGATGATACGGTGATAAATTTAAATAGTGATTCCACCTGTGTTTCAGAATCCCTTGTGGGGCTTTCTAAGAAATAGTTTTCCATGGCCCCACAGACATAACTTGGAAATTTAATTAAACATTTATACCAAATCTACTACAATTAGTTTTCAAAGCTCATTTTGGATGTTGCAGCTCTTTTAAATGGGTTAAATAGAACTTTTTTTTGGATCACAGAGAACCAGAAATGACTCCAGGATACTTCTCTTTAACACAAAATATTGTGTCAATTTAAATAGGTAGAAAGGTAATTTATACACACGAATCTCAAATAGTATCTGTGCCCCAATAATATGGGACACTTAAATTACATGCACACAGTGAAATTCATAATGAAGACAGGTTTAATGACTATGCATGTCAAAGTTTTTGTTACCTTGGGGGAAGCCAGTGAAAAACAAAAATATACAAAAAATTAAGAGCTTATGGACATGGAAAATCAATTTCTATTACATGAAAATTATTCTGGTAGGAAAAATGAATGAGGTGCTTTTAGACAGCTGAACAGAAAAACAAACTTGAAAATACCTGGTAACTTGTGTTGGAACACATTTTCCATGATCTGTTTAATTTCTAGTCTCTGTTCCAAGTCCTCATTGAGTAAGCCAAACTCCTGTACCACTCTGTCAATGGCAATACCAATTGCATATATCTGGGAGGGTGTAGGCGGGGGTAACGTAGTAAGCAATTCTTCCTCCTGCTTCTCCTTTTAAGATCAATGTTGAGATTAAAAATGACTCACACAGTTTTTACCTTCTACCATTCACTGAGACAATACCCTTTAGAATATGCCAGAATATTTTTCTTAGTTCTCCCTCTCACCTTAGCTGTATTAGTCTTTACCTTATCCAACACACACACTTCTTTATGCACATAAAGTGATAATACAGGGAAGGCAGGAGTAGGGAAAAAGCTCAAGGGAAGAACACTAAAAACAGCAATGATAAATTATTTGCTTTACTATTCCTAAGGATTTACTGGCCTAAGGATATGTACCCAGGTCCTGTCAATGACTTCATTTATCCTGATACTGTCCTTAAGGAAATTCACAAGACTGCCTGGCAAAACGTATCTGAACAGTATAAAGTATTTTGGCTAAACTCAATAATACAGCAGTAAAGTTATTACTATCATAGCCTTAACATGAGAAAAGTGACAAAGATGACAAAAAACTGACAAGTAAACATGAACTTACCTTAATGTTTTTTTTGTGTCTCTTCTCTTTGATATGCTTATGAGCAAATGCAATGGATTCAATTAAAACATCACAAAGTTTGCAGGTGTACTTTGCTGTGGGATAATTTCTTGGTCGCTAAAATTTGGAGAGATTTATAGACATCTTCACAAATCCAGGCAAACAAAAGTTAGCCAAAAGATGATCTTCCCTTCACTTGTAAAACTTTTAATATATGATTGTCATTCCTTACTACTATCCTAATAGTCATTTGTATTTAAGTGATTCTGTTAAACTGAGCATCACTCTGAACTTGTAGTATATAAATGCTAATAACCAAAGTACGATACCTAATTCATCCAAGCACATTTTCCCAATTACTAACACAGTTTGAACCAAACAAGGATTTTAACTAACATAAAATATGTTACCCTTTTTAGCCTGTCAATGCAGTCTCGTTTCAATCGCTCCTCGGCCTGCTGTAAGCCCAGCAGCTCCTTGGTTGAGAGCACAGATTCATCGATCACAGGACCCTCCAAATCTCCATCCTGTTCATTTTCATTTCTAATTCTACGTGGCTTCCTAGGTCTGGACCTCTGCTTCTTGTTTTCTTAAGTTAGGGGAAAAATATTGGCAATGTTGAAAAATAGCACTCTGAGTGAAAAGCACAAGTCTTTTTACATATTAATTAAATCACTTGATATCTGAATGATATCTAGCACAGAGCAAAAGGAAAGGTATATAGCTCGCCCATGAATAAAACACCTGAATGCTCATTAAGCACCTCTGCATACATCAAGCCACAGAAATCACCTTTTTGGAAAACTTCAATAGAATTCCACTTCAACCATACAATTTGATTTTGTCATTTGTCCTGTTATATACTGCTGAGCACACTCAAGTAATAGTAGAAATTATTCTCAAAAGGCAAGAATATCTATAATTCTAATATACTTAATATATCACAGTAGCTAACGTACATGTATCTAATTCAGTGTACTTGTCTAGTATGCCTGTAAGTATATCTGTTATTCTCATGAAAACTATCCACATTTGCTTTTATTTTTGGAAGTGAAAAATCTCAACAGAGCAAAGGTGTCACAGAACTCCAGAGACTCAGAAATCAACTACATTGTCTGGAGTGAAAAATCCCTTGCTCATTTGTAAAGTTAGCCTCCACATAATTGCACCCTTCCCCACATTAATATCAAGAAGTCCAAGCCAAAATTTTATTTACTAAGGACAATTATTTCCCATTTTATCTTTACTTTCATTTTAGCTTCTCTGAACGGGCTCCAGGCTAAGCACACTTCAAAGGAGAAAAAGAATTATTTGAAATAAAAGTTTTCTTTTATTTCAGACTAACTCACTTTAAAAAACTCTGTCGTTAGCTTTACAATCCTTACAACTAATGTCTGTTCCCTTTTTTAAACTTACAACTTTTCAACCTGTGAAACTGAAGATGACTGCAGAATTGATCTAAAAAAATTGTTTTAAGCTAACTTCTCTCAAGTTCTGAAAATGAAGCTATTAGTAACATGTAAGATTAAAATAAAATTCATTTGCCCAATTAAAATTGCGATAAATGGATTCAATCACTTTTAAAAGGCATACCAAAAATTAGTCTTTGACAATATAAAGCTACTGAAATGCCCTGCAAGAGGCAGTTGGTATGTCAAGTTTTGAGCAGAACTCATTACTTGTGCAGTAGTTACAATGAAACAATTGACTGGAAAAAAAAACTGTCAGAAAAGGGAGACACAGGAGCTTTAATTCTAAAAAAGCTATTGATAACAGCTCTAAAGGAAAAGCAATGAGCATTGTGCTCCAATTACCATAACTTTCATATAGTGAAAATCTACATACAGCTTCTATACAGTAAGTGGCAATTTAAAACAATTAAAGAAGTTAGGACAAATGCAGTTTTGTTTTGTTTTTTCAAAAAGCAATTAAAATGGACCAAACAACTAGAATACTAAAAGGTAAATAGTCATTTGAAGAGATCAGTCCAACTTGATATTTGTTTTTTAACATGTCCCCTACTCCCATTTAAATTACCACAATCTTTTAAGGACAGGGCTCTTGGTCTGCATATATGAGATAAGCACTTTTTAGTTTAGAGGTGTCCCTATCATTTAATTTGCTTCTCATTACAAGCTCTAAATAACTGCTTCTGATGTGCATGTTCACAACATAAGTTTCTTAGGCACTCATTAAAGATTTACACTATTATGTGCAATCCCGTTAGAAAAGTTCCTAATAGTTCACAAAATAGCAACTGATATGGAACCTAAATCCTTTTTTAATCCTTCTCTTTATCACAAAGTCTTCTCAGTATAACTATATTTGGTGCCATTTTCTAAAAAAGTGACTTGTTTTCCTCCAAAGAATACAATTAACTCTTTATTGTTTTTATTGAGAAGTGGACAGCTGCAGAAATTGTCTGATGATAATGGCAGCTACATTATTGGGTCTTTTATTATGCCAGAGATGCAATGCATACACTTTATGTGCATTGCCTTATTTAATTCCGATAGTGACCCTGTCACAATATTATCCCCATTTTACAGATGGGGAAAATGCTGGCCCAGGAAAATAAGTAACTTGTCTAGGGTTACATGATTAAGTCAAAGCAAAGAGATTTGAAATGGAGATTAAAGCATGGATGTGAGTTAGGGCAGGGAAATGCCACAAGGGTCATGTCATTGCAAAATCTACTTAGCCTCCGAAAAAGGCCCAGTTTATTCTTTAACTTAATCTATATGCTGTTCTTCCTCTTCTTCCAGTTAAGTAACTTTGTAACCAGGACAGGAGATAGACCTCCAAAGTGTAAACGAAGGTATGTGGATAAAGAATGCTAAAGATCTGGACCAACACAGTGACCTAAATAATCCTATTCTTAAAACAAAACTTCAAAGGAATTATGAATCACCTATATACATCATACCTTACGTCGACCCCTACCTAAAGGTCCTATAAAACCCCAAACCCTACACCCTTAAGTGCTCTTCCTCTCTCAGATTGCCCACACTCCTGAGTGTGTACTGTCTTATATCATATAAGTTTTCTTGTTGCATAAGCTGACTGAACTTGTCTCTTAACTCTTTTCCACGATAAAGACAAGAACATGTTGGCCTCCAACTCTGGTGGTAAACGTCATTGTCATTTTGCTATTTCATTCAGCTTTCTAGTCTTAACACAATCCTTTTCTCTCTCCCATTTTGTTTCAGACAAGTAGGGAAGCTGAAGTTCTCAGAACATAGACTCATTCCATCCAGTGCTCTGCAGCTTCTCCAGATCCTGGGGTGGTAGGGGCTCAGTTTCCATGCTGTGCAGATTCAAATGGACACTGGATACAAGGTGACCCGGGCTTCAGGAGTTGGCAAGGGATTTGCCTTATGCCAAGCAGGAGTTTCATGAGTTTCCCTTTCCATTCTCTGCTCTTTCTTGCTCTCTGCTGCCTGCACAGCTTCTGCCATTCATTGCTACTCTCATTTTAATGAATTGCTTCCTTACCAGCATTTGTCCAACCTGGTCAAGAATTCTTTCTCAGAGTCAAGAATCCTCCCCTGTCCGAGCTGCCGTTTCACCTAGTGCGCAGGGAGAGACCCTCCCAAACGCAGCTGCCTGGCAACAGATGGAATTTTGAAATTCAGCCTTCTGTCTTAACAATACAATAACTGAAAGAACTCAGTAAAAAATCTCTTCTGGCAGCATATGCATTCATATCTAGACTAGCACAGAACTGACAAGGCCTACATTGTAAAAAACGGTCCAGTAAAATCTCATCGGAGAGAATCTTGGGAGGCAAAGCTGGGTGTTGCTAAAAAGTTCCTATAATTACTTAGGGGAAGTCTACTTGACTCATCTCAGGTTTTTTGCAATATGAATTCTCTATATACAGTATTCCAAGTTTCCCATATTTTATTTGCATATGGCCCATTATTCCACTCACAAAGGACGTGTATTTGAGTGGATATTCTCCAGCTATGATCATTAATGGCACTGTCCCAAATACATTATACTGGCAATCTAAGATATCTGAAGGATGAAATAGGGGCAGTTAATGTAGAACTGAAAACTAGGAAGTATTAAAAAACAAAGCAAATCTAAGATAATTTTCATTACATCTTCTTCCATGATTTAACAAGACTGTTCCTTAGTAAGACATCATTTGGTTTAAGGAAAATTTCATTCCCTTTAGTGACATCCTTTAGGATATTGGGTGCAGTGCAAAGTTTATACTTTAAAACTGAATTTCTCTCTACAGTAAGCAACATTATATGAAGGCTTAATATTTCCTTTATGAAGATTCTGAAGGGATAGAAGCTGACCAGTTCTTGATGTAGCAATTGTGAAGGCACACACCTGTATTTCATAGAGAACATGGGGGCTTTAGGATTGCCCTCAATAAAAAAAGATAATGAAAATGTATCTATGTCCTATTCAAAACCATTTAAAAGCAACTTCTTTAGTTGGTTTTAAGACTAAACAAGAATATGTGCCTTATGAGGTTTTTGGTCTGTAAACAGTCCCTTTTAATACCTGTCTGGTTGCAAACTTCATCTATAAAACTTCTTATAATGCTGCTCAAGATCAGCCTTTTCTTTTCTAAAATACCAACTAAGGTAACTAAATTAAAATATCCATGTCCCATCTGGGCACAGTAATATGGAAATACTGAAATATACACCGAATTTTAAAATACACAAAGCAAAAGGATTCTAGGTTCAGAGAGGCTGAGCTAATGGCCAGAGCAACACAGGACAAATTTCAGTTTCACTTCCTCTTCTAGCACTCTGTGTGAACAAGTCTGGATAAACTTAACCTCTCCTAGCCTCAGCTGCCTGCCTGCTTTGTAAAATTTTGATTCTACCTTTGATAAATCACAACAGAGCACTGCATTAGACAATTCCTTCAAGTTCTTTCTCCTCTAAGTATTTATGAGGCTAGGGTTTCATCTCTGCCTACTGTTTGATTTCTCTATAATACCCCATTCTGTTTCTCCTGTTTGATATAAGGCATTTTCTCTTGCTTTTCCTATTTTAGAAAATGAAAAACAGCACCTTTTCTCCCACTTAATACTATCATAAGACACTCTAAAAATAAAAAGCAGCCTTTTCCCTGTTAAGTATTCTAAATGTCCAGGTTACAGGTAACAAACATATATTTAAACTGACCACTGTAAAGTAACACGAAGGAAAGGGGCTTCTGGCATCAATATTGCCCAAATGCATTTAAACTCAAAACATTTAAAAAGTGCTGGCTAGTTTTCAACACATTCTATATGGTCACTAAAAAAAAGGCTTATAGCTAATAAACTTCAAAGCCCGTTTTTCCAAGTATAATTTGTATTTTCAGATTAAACATTATTTATTTTTGCCTTGAAATTTATGACTTTATTTCACTTCAGTAATTATTGCACACTACATAAAAATAATTTTGTTTACATAAATTACTGCTACACAGACAAAATCTATTATTTGCCTTTTAGAAAACGTTTAAGCAATTATTTTGTGGCAGTTGTTATCAAGCACACAGGGCACTTAGAAATGAATTTTGGTTTTACTCTAACTAAAAGGCAACGTTTTATCTGTATTTCTGACTTTCAAAACTTAATGCTTCTCAACCTGTTTGCCATACTTGCTTTTGAGAAAAAACAATCTTGGACTTTCTTCCTCTGGAGACTGATGCTCCACCCAAAAGACATTTATCCCTCTGTGACAGGAGATATATGCAGTCTATGTTTTTATATCAAATAAAGTTTTTTTTAGCTTTATATTCTGTCATTTATATTGTAGACACATTTATTATTCAAATACAAAATTTAGAGAATACATACATGCCACTCAGAAATTACGATACAGCCCCCGGGGGGACTGAACACCCTTTTCTGTAGAGAGGACCAATGGGAAATATATTTACTCAAGTAAAATGAGCCTCATGGTAAACTTTTAAAGGGACCAAAACATGCAATATGTTGAAATTGCTCAAATATGATTACAATCATCAAAATAATCACATTAAATAAAAAGAAACTGTGAAAAAATGGAACTGTATTGGTGAAAATAATAAAACTCATTTGCATGAAAAAGAAAAGACATAGCTGACTTTGAGTTCTAACTTGACAAGTTGGAACACATTACCAGGGCTTCCTGCTTCCATCTCTGATGTGGTTTCTAGGCTTGTCAGGTCTTTATTGAACAGTCTTCTTACAGTTCTGCAGCCTCGACCATCTTGCCACCTATATCCATCTTCACTGTCTTGAAAGGAGTCTTTTCTTGGTCGGTTTGTAACAGGAAATCTAGGTCCAGGTTTGAATTCTCTCCAACTGTCTGAATTACCAGCAAGTTCATCAGATAGCCATCTCTTATTCTGATCTTTGTGGCTGTCATTTATCCAAACGGGTTGACTGTAAATTGGGTTTTTAAATGCATATGGATTGTTGGAAACAGCATATGGTCCTTTCCTGGGGGTATTCCCATAGTTCCCTGGTATTTTTTTTTTTGGAAGGCCTTTTTCCATTTTATTGCCATAGCCTTTAGCACAATCATCCATTATTAGATAATCTTGTTGGGGGTGACCTCTTCTGAAATCCTCATCATCAACAGTCCCTCGGTCTTTACGCTTCACAAAATAAGGTTTTGCTGCATCTCCCATGGTTCTTGACTTCAGTTTTCTTCCTTGCACCTGAAGGAAGGCATTTTCGGGGAACAATCAAATTATAACAAGATATCATACCAAGTATATAAAATGCCACACAATTATTGTACAGATGCTCAAAAGCCTGTAAGACTTTCCTTCCTAAATTCCAGTAATCAATGTATTACAAGAGAAGTGAGGAGGCTTAATCAGTCCTATAATATTCTTCTTGAAAACAGTACTTACTATTCAACATGAAGATTACATCTGTAAATAAGGGAAGCTTCTTAACAGTTTCAAGAAATGTAGTATAAAAATGTTTATACAAAAAAAATTGGTTGGCTTTTACCTATATAACAAAGCGCTTCTCTTCAAAATAGGCGAACACCTCATCCCAAGAATATACAGTTAGAAAACTTCTGAAACAATCTTAAAAAAAAAAAAGTTTGGCAATTACTTTTAAGTGTTATACAAAGTAAACGAAACTTTATGTGAGTACCGTACATCTCAACTCCACTTCTCCGTCCCGGGGTCTCAGCTCCCTTCACCACGACTATTCGGAACCACAGCCTAAGATCTCTCGGGTTACGGAGGGGCAGGGCTCCCCACCAAGGTTCGGCTTTAGTCAGATGGGCTGGGTTGCCAACCAGGGGACAACTCCAGCTAACCTCCCCAGTCCTCTTTCTCCAAACCCAAACGAGTTGGGTTTTATCACGAACAGCAATCCTCCCTCTTCCATCCCCATCTGATGCCTCAGTTTCCACCCTTCGGGAAAAGGTGAAAGAGGAGGTGTCCCTGCAACTCCTGGCCACGAAGACACCGCGGGGACCAGGAAGCAGGAAGTGACCTGCCTCCTCGATGGGGTTCCGGGGTCCCCCCAGCCGGTCAAGGGGCCGGGGCCGAGTGTCTCCACCCGAATCCCTTCTTTTCCGGCCCCCGCAAGGTTTGACACAAAGTGAAGATGCGGACTCGAACCAAAGAGCTCAGTCCCCGCCGGCCTGGGGGTTCCCCGGTCCTCACAACCGGGGTGAAGAGGCCGGGGGTGGATGGAGTCAATGAATCTCCCGGGCCGGACCCGCCCTCTATTCTGGAGGCCGGAGACCCCACCGGAGATCCACCCCAGAGGCGAGTCTTGGAGGGACCTGGGGAGAAGGATCCGGGAGCACTCACCGCCTCCGCCGCGGTCCCCCGCCTCTTCCTGTCCCGGCTGGGCTCCCTCTCCGTGTTTTCCTTCGGCCCCACTTCCGGCGCTCAGCGCTGTCTCATTGTGCGCGTTTAGCGGTCGGTGGTGCCCCCGCCCGAGCGCTCAGCCGTTCACGCCGGAAACGCGCGCCGCTCTCGGAGGGCTGCCCGTCTCCCCGCCCCTCCCTTCCAGCTTCCGCCCCGCCCCTCCCGCTTCCGCCGGTGGGTGAGCTCCGTGCGCGATAGGAGTCTCTCCAGGCCGTGGTCCTCCTTCCCGCGTTTGCCTCGGTCAGGTCTCGCCCAGCTAGAGGCGCCTCTCTTTCCTAGGCCTTAGAAGCGCTGGGAAAAAGACGCGGGGAGGAAACCGCTGGTTCTCGCTGAGAGACGTGGAGCCCGCAGTCGGCGCGGAGGCTGGGCTTTGCCCCGGACACACCTGGTTGGCTCCAGGGCCAAGTTCAGCCCGTTCTAAGGCCTCGTGGCGCTCTTGCTGTGTTTCTGATAATTCCGAGTGTTTTATCGCCTCAAGGAGGTCTAGAAATGCCAGCGTTTAAGCAACTGCTGCTTACCCAGGTCTCAGTATGGTCGAGGGCAGTGCTCTGCTTTTTACCCCTTAGACTGTGTACGGACTAGTTTTACTAAAAACAAAACCGTGATTAGAAGAGTGTGTGATCGGGCAGGAGCACACTGGAATTTTTGAACGAAGAATGAACACCTGGAGCCAGCAAACAACCCGGGGTTTCTTTCTTTTGACAGTTCCCTTTCTTGCTGTCTGCAGTGTTTGAACGCCTCGAGGAACTAAAAATGAGGGATTGTTGAGACAATGTGACAGTTTTGATTTCTCTGCTTTTAAAGAGCATTTAAACTTAAATCCATGAGATTCTGTGAGGCAATGGTCTTAATAATGAAATGTTACTGGCTATCGCTAGGCACTGTTCTGAGGCCTTTACAAATATTAACTCATAATCCTCACACCTGCGAGGAAAATGCCACTATACCCATTTTAAGGAAGAGAAATAGCGTTTATGGTGAAGTAAATGGCACTGCTGGAATCCAAACCCTAACGAGCAGAGGCTATCCATAACCAGTATCTGTACTAAAAGTGATTTAAAACCTGTTGGTACAGATTTTGTATAATGCCTTATCTAGATGCTTTCGTTCTGAAAGTACCTGAGAATTAAGCCAATAATTGGTTCGACAGGCAGATAATGACTTAATAAAGTTCAAAAGGAGTGATGATACATGATTACCTTTATTATGGGACAACAGCATCACCACGCCCAGTCAAGTAATTCCTGTACAAAAGAACTGGTTTAGGAAGTCTGCCTTGATTGTCTACAGTTCTAGAAGAGCAGTTGAGGATACATCTTTTTTTAAGAGTTTACAATATTTTGTATTTGCAATGTGTTTCCGAAAGCCTAATTTCTATTCTAAATTTGTTTTTAAGAGTCATCTTGAGGATAAATGGGACTCCCTGAAACCAGATGCGATACTAATCAAAAGATACTGACAGGTAACATATCTCTTTTTGTTCATGTTATACTGCAATGAGAATTTATATTTGTCATGGGGATCCTTAAAAACCAGTTGAAAAGTTTAGCCTGCTTTTTCTTTGGATGTCACTGGAGAATACTGAGTTTCTCAGAGTCTTTGTGGGTATTGCTTCATGGCCTAGACTTACTTCCAACAACATGAAGCAGAAATTTGGAGGCTGTCTGGTTCAGAGGTCATTAACACTGGCCCATATATTACTGTGTGTCTTCTGTCTTGACCCAGAAGCTTAACATCTTGACAAGCCAACCTTTAACAGTGTCAGTGCTTTTTTTCTTGTAGGGCCATGAAGTCAGAAATGCAGTTTGATTCATAGCTTTGTCAGCCAGTTTTCACCCTGGTGTTTTTTATCCACTTTGTTAGTGAATTAATGTTGACTCCTTCAGGTGAGTTCTCACCACCTTCGCTGCTTCCCACCTGACGTTTAGTCATCACCTTTGCTTTGCTGCATTGCTGCAATCATCAACTAATACCTTTCCTCTTTTGTTCTCAACATTATAGATGGAAAACTCATGTTAAAATCTGAGCCACATTGCCATTTCCCCTCAAAACCCCTCAGTAGCCCCCCTGCCATTTCTCTGAGAGTAAAAGCCAAAGGCCTTACAATGGCTCAAAGCCCCTCTCTTACTTTTGATCCCATCCCTTATTTCTCTAACTCCCTTACACCACCCTAGCTACACTTGCCTTCTTGCAGTTCCTTCACACACCTGGAAAGCTCTTGCCTGAGGGCTTTGCACTGGCTGTTTCTTCTGTCTAGAATGCTTTCCCTCCCTTGGGTGTCTGTATTGTTCATATCTTCATCTTCATATTTTTACTCAGTCACATTCTCAATGAGGCCTACTTTGACCACCCATTTAAATTGCTATCACCACCTTCTCCTCTGCCTTCCTAATCCCCCTCACCTACTCTTTTCTTTCCTTGTAGCACTAAGTGTACCTTGCCACCTGCCGTGACTTTTATTATGGATATTTGACTTTTTATTATGGATATTTGTTTCTTTTCTGTCTCCCTTCGCTAGAATGCAAGTTCAGCAAGGGCAGAGATTTGCCTGTTTTGTTTGCCAGTATGTCCTCTAGGACCTAGAACATTTCCTGACTCATGTCAGACTCTTTAGAAATATTTGTGGAATGAATGAAAGATACAGGACATGCTAGGCTCTGCAGCAGTGGTTCTTTGTATGTGAACAGGTAGAGACCACGTGAACATGATTCCCTTCTCATTAAGGTGTATTAGTACTCTTACAAAGGTCTAATACTATGACAAGATTAAAAATGAACTCAGAAACTTTAAAATATTTTGCCCCTCCCTCACTCCTCCTACACTGTCTGCCGAGTTTTCAACATTCCTACAAAGATTTTCTTTTTATCTTCTTTTTTTTTTCAAATTTGTCAGATAATTTAGAGTACTTCTTGAGTTGTTTAGGATGTGTTGGGGTGATAGGAGTTTGTTCTCAGTTCTTGTCCCTGCCTCAACAAAGAACTGAAGGGCGGAGATACAGTAGTGAAGCGGAATGAAAGTTTTATTTGAATACATTCTAAGGGGGGAATGGGCTAGAGTCATGGAAGATAACGGCAGGTTTACTGGCTTATCTGGAGTAGGACAGAGAGAGTGAAGTCTTGTGCTTAAAGTCTGGAAAATGTAATGGAGTAGCAAAGTGACAGACACCACTGGAAGAGTGCAGAGAGAAAGTGTAGTAAGTTGAGCATTAAAAAGTCTTTTGAAAATACTCCAAGAAAGGGGAGTGTGGGCAACCTGAGAGAGAAGGAGGCACACATTCAGAGGAAATGGGAGAATAGGATTCTAGGAGAGTGATCTTCAAGGAAACTCTGGTCTGTATACTTGCTTGGTCTCAATTGGTCAAGGTTTTGGCAGTAACTACAGGTGCCAGCGTAAAGGTGGAAGAAGGGATGGGAGGTGGCTTTCAACTGAGCCCCGAGTCAGCAAAAGGCATAGAGAGAGGGTTCTGTCTAGGCAAGTGTCCTGGAGATCCAATAAAGCCTTGTCAGAGGGCAATAGGAAGTCAAGGTTTGGACCCAAAGAAGCTACCAAGCTAGTTAGGAAAGATTGTCTCTGGTTGCCTGGGCTGAGAGGCAGGCAGCTGTGAGAGAAAAAAAACTGCTGGGCTGAGGTAGAGGTTTTTGCCTTAGGCCATGTTGCTCCTGCCGGTTGCCTGTTAGACAGGAGAGGTGGGTTCTCAGTGGGAGGTCAAAGTTAAGTCGACTTGCAGATCTCATCAGAGTAAAAGTGTCTGTCTGTTTCCCTCTAATGGAAAATAGAACAAATAGAGCTGATGAGATACTAGAAAGAACTCGACAAAGGGTCATACTATCAAGGCAAATGAGAAGGCTCTTAGCTCCTGCAGGGAGCCATTGGTGAAAAAGACACTAAAGGGAGAAATCTTTTGACTACCACTCTGGGTGATATTCTTGAGGACCTAATCATGACCCACCTCCTAGGGAGGGGTTCCCTGCAAGGCCAGCACAAGCAGTACTGCCTCCGCCCGCATCTGGTGGACTTCTTACAATCAAGAGGATCATAAAATGAGGGTCTCTGCTGGGGGTGGGGGTCACCCCATTAGCCAACCAGCAGATAGTACAAAAAGCGTAGAGGAAGGGAAGAAAAGAAATGCAATGAGTAGGAGAAATTTGAGAACATTAAAAAGGAAATCTTTGCATGGACATATCTGAAAGGAAAGGAGCGACACACAACAGCAATTTACCGGAGAGTTCCGCTTTATTAGGGAAAGGTGCTGGGTTATATAGGATGGGGCATAGGGTGATTGTGGTGTTACTTCTACGGGGCTGGTGGCTGTTGGCTAGGTGCTGGGATTGGGAGGGGGGCGAGAGGTGATTGGGCTTCAGGTGGCGCCGGCGGGAACCGAGGACCCCGAAAAGAAGCCGGAAGTTCGCCATCTTACTGGTGGGGACCCTTCAATATCTGTTTGTGATCCATGAGAGACAGAGAAGGAAGTGAGTGCCTCCCTCCAGGGGGCAAGACATATGCAGCTTACCAGGAGTAGGAATCTGAGTCGGCACCAAATATGTTGGGGTGATGAGTTTGTTCTTGGTTCTTGTTCCCCCCTCAACAGAGAATTGAAGGGCAGAGACACAGTAGTGAAGCAGAATGCAAGTTTTACTTGAATACGCTCTAAGGGAGGAGTGGGCTAGAGTCAAGGTAGATAAAGGCAGGTTTACTTGCTTATCTGGAGTAGGACAGAGAGAGTGAAGATGTAAAGTCTAGAAAATGGAATGAAATAGCAAAGTGACAGAGACACCACTGGAAGAGCACAGAGAGGAAGTGTAATAAGTTGAGCATTAAAAAGTCTTTTGAAAATACACACTCCAAGAAAGGGGAGTGTAGGCAATGTGAGGAGGATTCTGTCTTTTAAGGCTTTCAAGAATG